TTGCTTACATCCGCCCCCATCATACAAGCACCAAACTGGGATCTCCCCTTTGAGATCATGTGTGATGCAAGCAACTATGCTATAGGCGCTGTTTTGGGTCAAAAGAATGGAAGAGTCTCTCATGTGATCTACTATGCATCAAGAACACTATACAATGCTCAAAGCAACTACTCTACCACATATAAGGAGCTATTGGCCATAGTGTTCGCTTTGGAGAAGTTTAGGCAATATCTACTCGACACCAAAGTCATTATGTATTCGGATCATGCAGCTCTCAAGTACTTGATGACAAAGAAAGATGCAAAGCCAAGACTCATCTGGTGGATCTTACTATTGCAAGAATTTGATTTGGAGATTCGGGACAAGAGCGAGTGCGAAAACCTTGTTGTCAACCACTTAAGCCGGGTCATTTCAAATGAAACTCTCTTCTCATTGCGGGACGAGTTTCTCCCTTACTCAATATATTCCTTGGTATGCCGATATCGTTAACTTTTTGGTCACAAAAATGTATCCCGACACATTCACACGTGCTCAAAAAGATAAATTGAAAAGTGATGCAAAATATTATGTGTAGGATGAACCTTATTTGTGGAAACATTGTCCCAATCAAATCATTAGGAGAAGTGTACCCCAACAAGAGCATCAATCCATTTTGTAATTTTGTCACGAACTTGCTTGTAGGGGACACTTCGGACCTAATCGGAATTTGAGAAAAGTTTTTGAATGTGGTTTATTTTGGTCGATCATGACACGCGATTATTATTTGTTTTGTAAAAGTTATGAACGGTGCCAAAGGACGGAGAATATTTCTCAAAAGAACCAAATGCCATAAAATCCAATCCTTGTTTGTGAAGTTTTTGACGTATGGGGGATTGATTTTATGGGCCTATTTCCCATTTCATTTGGCAACGTTTACATTTTGCTCGCGGTTGATTATGTTTCTAAATGGGTTGAGGCCAAAGCCACAAGATCGGATGATGCCAAAACTGTTATCGAGTTTTTGAAATCTGATGTCTTTGTGAGATTTGGTGTGCCTAGGGCCTTGATTAGTGATAGAGGGACGCATTTTTGCAACAAGATGATGGAGGATCTACTAAAGAAGTACAATGTTACCCATCGTGTCTCTACCTCCTATCACCCCCAAACAAACGATCAAGCGGAGGTTTCAAATCGGGAAGTTAAGTCCATCCTTGAGAAAACGGTGAATCTAACAAGAAAGGATTGGAGCTTAAGGGTTTGACGATGCTTTATGGGCCTATCGAACCGCTTATAAGACCCCGATAGAAATGTCTCCATTTAGATTGATTTTTGGGAAGCCATGTCATATTCCCGTGGAGCTAGGGCACCGTGCATTTTGGGCGGTCAAGCAATGCAACTTCAACATTGACGAAGCGGGAAGACATAGGAAGCTTCAATTTCAAGAGTTAGAAGAATTAAGAAATGATTCTTATGAAAACTCAAGAATTTACAAAGAGAAAGCGAAGCTTTTCCATGACAAGTCCATCTCCCGGAAGCATTTTGAACCGGGGCATAGGTTCTTACTTTATCATTCACGATTGAAGTTATTTCGTGGCAAGTTAAGATCAAGATGGATTGGCCTTTTGTTGTAATCAAAACTTTTGACCATGGAGCGGTGGAGATCCAAAGTGAAGAGACGGGACAAATTTTCAAAGTCAATGGGTACCGTTTGAATCCATTATATGAAGGTTTCAATGCAAATTCCTTTGACGTCATCCATTTGGATGTCCCAAGGTGTTAAATCAAAGCTAGGAGGACGTCTCGTTAAAGATGTTAAAGAATGACATTTTTGGAAAGCATTGTGCTTTCGTGTTTTTTTACATTCGAATAAAGAAGTTTGAAGATGTTTTATAGGAATGGCAACGGGGCGGGTTCGGGCGGGGCATGGTTTCCCAAACCCACCTCGATATCTTTCGGGTATCTTATCGGGGCGCCCCATTGGGTTTCGGGTTTTCCCGTCGGGTTTCGGGTATCTTA